GCTGGTGGGGCATCATCATCATCATCCTGCTGTTGCTGCTGCTGCACTAAATGTCCCGACATGAATGACACGCAGATTCACTTAACTCAAATGCCTGTCTCCTGATGTCACCCCATCTGTGGGTGGGCTGGCAAGGCTTTGAAGCAACTAATTAGATTCCAGGAACTGCACGGGCACGGGCACGGCATTGCCACTCCTCCTCTGCTCTACCCTTTACTTCTAACTTAATTTACTATGCAATTCTATTGCTGCAATCTCTGCCTGATGGTGACCTTTCTGCTGCTGCCTCTGCCTCTGCTTCTCCTCCTTCTCTGCTTGCTGTTGTCATTTGTGGAAATTAATTTTCTCATAATTTAGTTGGGGATTTTGCATTTGTGGTTTTGATTTTGCGGTTGGTCGACCTATGCATAAGGCACGCAACCAAAACCCTTTTCAAATCATCAGAATGCACAGAATAAATGTTAATTGGCATAGGAAATTACTGACGCTGGGCGCTGGTGGGGGTGCTGGCATGTTATCGCGGTGTTGTGTGGTTGGGTATTAAGGGGTTGCTGTGGCACCACACTGGGTAACTGTGCCACATAATTAACCATAATATTTGTGCACATGCATCGCCAGTTACAGGCAGCACAGCACACGTGTGTGCCGCAGTGGCAGTCCCAAATGCATTTCCAACTTGCCATAAAACATCATCAATGTGTGTGCTCTGGCTGTTGCTGCTGCTGCTGCTGCTGCTGCTCCCCTCCCCTCCCCCCGAGGATCAAGATAAATGTTTATGCGGGTTTTGTTTAACAAAAACATAGTTTGTGCGGGTACGCACACATATCTATAAGGTAATCATTTAATTTGACAGCTGAAGGAGTTATCAGGGAAAGAAATGAAAATGCAACTTTCCAAAGATATTCCATGTATTACATAAATGTGCAAAATAATGCCAACTTCCTGTACGATATTTTAAGTTCCGCCAGCCTCATTATATGCTACGGTTTTTTCATGTTCGTTTTTTATGAGTCGTTAATCCCCCCAAACTCCAGTCATATATTTGTGTCACTAATTGCAGCTTTTCCTCTCTCACTCTCTCTGTCTCTCCCATTTTGATTGCTCGGCTTAAACAACCACACAATTATTATTCATTATGAAACGTTGCCCCATCCTCTCTGTTTATGTTTTTGTTATGCATAAACTTCTCGCAAAGCATAAACCCCAAGCCAGTGGTCGGTCCAGTGGATGTCAACGCGTTTTATTGGCAAATCAAAAGCGACCGCAAATGGCAGCAGCAGCAGCACACACACAGAGTAACCGCACCTCTACACGTAGCCCCAACCCAACCCCAACCCAAAACCCCTTTTTCTATGTCCCTCTTTCTGCAATCCTCTCTCTCTCGGCGCTTACCTTGGCTCTGGTTTTTGGCTTGCGGTCAGTGGGTCCTAAAATCCAACGGTGCTACGGTCCTCGTCGTCGCTGTTGGTCAGCAAACAAGCGTGAAATTGCACAAAAGCCGTGACGTACTCTAAGCCACGCAAAATACTAAAAAAAAAAAAAAACCCCCCCTCCCAACCACATTCACAGCAGTAAAGGCAATCAGACTTGCCTTGGGCCTATGAATCTTTTTTTCGCCTTTTTTTTCTTTGCACAAACGGAGTTTTTCCCTGCTACTCCCCTATCTCTTGCGTGCAGCATCAAAGTATGCAATGAATTTTTCACATGCGAGTCCTCGGGATAGAAGGACTCGACTCCCTATGGCAGCATTTTGTAATTAATGCCCCATTGGTTGGTTGGATGATGTTTGATCTGCTGTGGTTCAAAGGCAGCAGCATCCCCAGCCGACTGGGGTGCGGGTGGTGGGGTAGATTTTTCGTCTGCCCTGCCTGCCCTGCCTGCTAATTAAATGCATACAAATTGTACGCTGCACACGCTAATGATTCAATTATCTTTATTAGTTGCTTCCTCTCTCCTCACGCAATGCTCAATATGTGGGGCACAGGACATCTTCAAGGGGCATGCAGGCAGGCAGGCAGGCAGGCAGGCGGCGTGTAGGTAGCATGCCTCTTGCTTTAATTAAAACCCATTCGAATCGATGCGATGGCCCACATCTGTGGGCACGTTTTAAATTTAGTGCCAGGCAGTCAGCGAGCAGGGGGAGCGTGCAAGTCCTTGCAGCGAGCACTCACTTCATTAAAGAGTGCCAAAGCGGTGGGAATTTATTTTGCATTGGGCCCCAGCATTGCCACATCGAACGTGCTGTGGCCAAATGGAATTCCAAGTGGCAGGAAAATGGCGAGAAAAGGGTGCAGCACCAGCAGTAGCAGCTGTCGCAATAAAATGGATTGAAGAGTGCAGCAAGAGATGCAATGCCAGTCGAAATGGGTCAATCGAAATGGTGAAACTGTTATGGGATCAAAGGGAAACAAATGATCCCAAGGGTACATGCATACATACATGCACTCTTCAAAGGATATAAATAAAAGGGGAACATTTGAAGGGGTTCAGCAGATGATACGCTGGCAGCAGTTTGCCATTTGGAATTCATTTGGAATTCATTTGGAATTGAATTGGGAATTTTAGTGTAAACACAAAATGACTTAAATCTAAAAAGTTGTCATGAAATTAAAGCCTTTCAGCGGAAACAAATGCTATCAAATTATCAAATCCAAATTAAATCAAATGGAAAAAAGCTAAACCTCCATTAGTGGTTTCAATACTGCAAAGCAGCAAATTATCAATTAATAATTAAAATAACTTTTCAGTTCTTGCACATGGCACATATGCTAGGAGTTATTAGAATTTTTCTTTTGTTCTGCCACTTCTTCTCCCACTAAAATGAAACGAATTGCATCAGCAAAAATTAGCCAAGAAAAAATAACAATTTAGAGTCAAAAGAATAAAAATCCAACGAGGCATCCAAGAGAGACCCAATCCCAAGAGTCCTAACTGCTAAGAGGAACTCCCAAGGATAACTTTCTATCAATTTAATTCGGGACACACAATTCCTGGCACTTGTGTTATGTGCTGCTTAAAGAAATTACACTCTGTTACCGAACTGACAATCAAACGGGTTGGCTTTCCTTTTTTTTTTTGGTCGAGTTCAATCAGTGCCTGCGAGCGAGCAGCCACTTAGCTGGCAGTTGCAAGCCATGCCCCATAGATATCAGGAGTTGGTGTTCTCTCTTCGCTTGGAATTTATTTCATTTCTATTTCATGCAATTTTTATGCATTTTTCTATTTATAAAATTGCTGGCAGCGCACACACAAAATAATAAAAATGCCAACGAGTGGGACTGGGGTCTGGGCTCTGCGAAGTGCAAAAGAAAAACTAAGGGAACAAAACTGAACATAAAATGCAAGCGGCGGCATTTTGCAGTTTCTTCTCATTCTCTCGTTACCATTTTCCTATTTTCTTCTCTACTTTCACCCCCTCCCCCTTGGGTTACCGCTGCTGCTGCTTGATGCTCGCTGCTGTGTGAAAATGCAGCGTGAGAAACCGAAGCGAAGTGCAAACCAAAGCTGGAAAAATGAAAAAAAAAAAGTGAAAACAACAAATTTGCAGGGGGCGCCGTGGCGTGTAAGTGTTGGTAAACGTGGTGCAAAATATCGTTACTGCCATGGCACTGCCATAGCAGGGACACTGTGGGGTATGCCCCGTTCTACAATATTCTGCTTGGCTTGGGTTAGGTTGGGTTGGGTTTTGCTGTTGCTTTTGTTGTTTTTAGGTCACCAATGCAGTTGTCGTTGCCAGAGGATGAGGATGCCACTCTGCCTCTTTGCCTTTCTCTCCCTTTGGTTCTGTTCTTGTTGCTTGTTTAACAAGTTCGAGTGCATCGCATTTGTGAAAATTTAAAAAGGCATCCTAAAAGGCATCTCCCCCTCCCCCCTCGTAGAATGTGTCGCTGCTGCCACACACAAAGAACACCCGAAAGCAAAACAGGAGCGAACTTTTCTGAGGCTGTCGCTGACACCAAAATGCACAAAAGGCACACCAGCAAAACACCAGCTAAGAATGTGCGCGTTTTTGGCAGCACGAAACGATAAGAAAGATACCCTGCAATGATAGAATGGGAAAGCTACAGGAAAGTAAGGCAAAAACAGAGCTTGAAGTGAGTTTAGAAGTGTCCAAGTTAGGTGCAGGATTCACTGGCGAACAATTAACACAGCTGAAACAACGAATTACATTGACTTTGAGGACTTGTAAGTCCTTTTCTACCAATAGAACTATTACAAAGGAAGCGGAAAAAACACAGACATTTTCTTGAGATTAAAACTTGCAAAGTTCACTAAATAAATAATAAAAGCATACTTAAGATTCTTTTGATTTAAAATTTGCTACAGAATACTTTTCTTAGATGTTGAAAATGGTTAAAAATAAATTTAAAGCTAAAGGAAATTTAAACTGTATATTTATTTTTATTAATATTTTTATATATATTTTTATATATATTTATATTAATTTAAAGCTAAAGGAAATTTAAACTGTATATTTATTTTTCCATATTTACTATTTAGAGTTAAATTAAAGATACTGAAATATAATTATAATACTCTGAACTGAACATTTACAGCTTTGGGGGTGAAAGTGTCTTACTTATACTTGAAAATAATTCTCTAAAACTCGAAAACCCTTTAGAACTTAGCTTAAACTATTATATGCATCGAGTATACCCCATAGATACCACTTGAAAAAGTTTACTTAACAATGTGTAAAAGGGTTTTGGGAACAAGGGAATGTTACCCCAGGAAATGGCAGAAGGAAGAAGGAGTTGCTGCTGCTGCTGCTGCCACTGCATGGGGCAGGCAGAAGGCAGGAGTCGGGTAAAACAAAACGAACAGTAAACATATTTGACATTTGCATACGAAAAGTGTCAAAAGAAGCAAGAAGCTGTATAAACTAACCCATACAAAAGACCACACACATAGATAGCACACACACACATGAAGATATAGCACTTCCGCAATGCTTTCTCTCTTATCATGTGCTCTTTGCTCTTTTCCTCTCTCGCACACAGGAACGCTACAAGGCTGACATTAGTCTGGCGATACAGCTGCTGCAATGCAAACCGGATAGTTTTGTGGCCCAAAAGGTGTCATCGGTGAGTATGAGGCCAGGAACCGCCCCGTCTGTAATCCCCCATTCAATAATATATTTATTTATTTCTTTTATTGTTGTTGTTGTTGCAGCTACCCATTGATATCCAAGCAAAGGTATCGGCTTATATGCGACTGGAGACCAATTCGCATTCCGATTCCGAGTGCAGTAATAGTGGTGTGGGCGTGGCCACCACAGCTTCCTATAAAGTGCTTCCGGCCTCCGATTCACCACCCCCAGCGGCCTGTCCCTTTCCGCCCACAGCGATGGTCTATTCGATGCGGGGACTCGGTAGGTGTTAGTAGACCATGCCTTGAACATTATTTGATTTATTCTTTAACACATTTCTGTTTCTATTTCCGTTTTATTTTATTTGATTTTATATAATTTATTTTACGCACATTTTTCAGTGGCGAAGAAAATTCCAACGAAATGAAATGATTTTGTTACCATATCGGTGTGGAAATTAGAAATATTCATGCATTTTACGTACAGCTGCATGCATTTGTCTGCACATATGAAATGAAAGATATTCAGGCATTTTACTTACAGCTGGAAAATAAGAGAATATTCATGCATTTTCTACAGCATTTTACAGCTGGAAAATAAGATATATTCCTGCATTTTTCCTACACATCTACAGAGAGAGAGAGATAGACAGAATGAGAATGGGAGTGCTTCATTTGATTTGTGCATCATAATTGAATCCCCTTCCACATCATTGTGCACTGTGTGTGTGTGCATTGGCATTCATTATGCCTTTTGGTTATTGTTCATTTACATTAATTGCCAGCAATTTCATTCAATTTTCCGTGTGGTGTATGTTATTGCTTGTTTTTATTACTGTTTTTGTTGCTGTCACAATTTCCAACTCAAATTGCCATAAAATAACTTTGTGCAATGTGTTTTAACGAGTGTGTACACACTCTTGTGTCATAGGGTATTGTGATTTTGTGTGTGTAGAGTTGAAAGGCAGAGGAGAAATTAATGAAGAAAATTATAAGCATATACAATGCACAGCAAGCGCCCAGTTAGGATCAATATATCCTTTAACTTCTACAGAAATAATCAGTAGAACAAAAACCAACTGATTAAGAATCCTTTGCTGCATTTTGCAAGTTTTTTTGCTGGTTTATTTCTACAGATAATTCAGCCATTCATTCAGCCAATAGTTTCAAGTATTTGTTCATGGTTTATACAATCTATTTAGACTCTAAATTTTAGAGCATGAGTATCATATGCCCACTGGCAGAGTATTCCGTGACGCGTTCTCTGACTCCTTTAATTTATCTCTCTTGTGTGTTTCTGTCTGCTGCAAATATTTACATGTTTTTCTATGTAAACATATGAATTGTTAGAACCAAATTGCATTCATTCATATTTTCTATGCGAAAATAATGCTTTTTGACGGCGAAAATAATGTACAAATTGGGCAAGGGGATATAATTTTTAGTTGCTACCAAAAACTGTTGATTTAATTATGATTAAATGAAAGTTTAAATATGCTTAAAATGAAAGTTTCATTATGATTAAATAAAAGTTAAATTAAATCTAAATTTAATGAGTTACAAATTAATTAGAAAAAAAGTTTGCATGAAAAGGAAAGTTTTAATTAAAATATGTGCAGGCGATTTTTGCATCTGCGTTAATTTTGGTTATTATGAAGGATATTTCGTGGAAGGAGACCGCCCACTGTTTCCACAGCTCCGAGATGAATTTTACCGCAACTGGTGCCAGACAGTTGCGCGAGTGAAATACCCGAGAATACACAAACAGACTGACGGATCGCATCGCTTTTTTACTTAATTAAATTTTGATTTATATTCATTTAACTTTTTCGTTGATATTATGCAACAACAAAAAGTTCAAATGGCTCTACAGATAAATCGTAAAACGTCTTCCAATCTACCTCTTTGCAAAAACACCAACTAATTTCCCTTCAACATTCCACACAGATGAAACCAATGGCAACAATACGGGCAACAATCCTCAACAGCAATCAACCACAAATAGCAACAGCAACAACAGCAACAACAACAACAATGCCACAAAGGATGCGCTGAACAACAATAATATCAACAATAATAATTCAAGCAATAATCCACATAAATTCAACAACAATTCGAATGGCAATGGGAATGGCAATGGAAATCACACGACAAGTCATTCGATGGCAAATGCCAATCCAGATATGATCTCCCCCACGATTATGGCCAAATTCCTGGAGGATGAACTGAAGGCCAATGAGGTGAAGCACTGCGATACGTGTGCCTGCAGCAAACAGGATCTCCAAGTGCTGGCCGATGTCTCACGTTCCTATACGGTGGCCACCCAGACGCCCCATCATCATCAGCAGCAGCTGCAGGGCTCGTCCAACCTCAATGAACCGCTGACCCAGCTGTGCCTGCGCTGCCACAGCAATCTGAACTCTCCCTCGCGCACGAACAGTCCCTATCTGATGAAGCTGGTCAAGTCCAGTGATTCGGTGATATCCGAGACAAAGAGCTCGGTGTCGGATCTGAATGACATGGACAAACTCTTTACGCCGGTGAAGAAGGATGATCTGATGGTGAATCCCATTCTGGGGCATCATCGGCTGTGCGAGCGGACGGCAGGCGTTACGGCCTCCACGCTGATGTATCCGACCACACATCTGGGGGCCTATGCGGCCGAAAAGTATCTGCTGGAGACGGCCAGCAATCTCGGCCAGCTGAGGAATGGCTATCAACGGAGGTTCCTGGAGGGCGGTGGCACCGCCTTGCAGCTGCTGAATAAATTTGAGGGCGGCTCAAGTGCCGCTGCAGCACAGGAAGAGCTGGAGGATGAAGCGAGCAAACCCCTGCTGGCGGGTATTTCACAGGGTAATCTGCTGGAGACCGAACAACAGCCACTGCCACAGTTGCCAGTGCAGGCCAGCGAGCTGGAGGATGTGTGTGAGCCGCTGCCTCTGAAGACAGCTGCTGGTGGAGCTGCTCCGGCTGCCGCGGCTGCCGCGGCAGCAGCGGCGGGTGCCCATTTGAAGTCCACCAATTCGGGCAGCGTTCAGAGCCTGTGGAGCAACAAAACCAGCAGCTGTGAGGGGGCCCGAATGTTTGAGACATTCAATAGGAATCTCATCAAAACTATTAAGGTTAGTCCGAAGGGTTTTCTTCGCTTCAATCTTCCGGAAAACTAAAGCATTTCCTTCCTCCCTTGCAGGCGGAGAATCCCAAGTATCGAGGACCTCGACTGTGCGCCATGCGCATTCAACAGAATGGCCAAAGCAACATCCTGTTGGACAACTTGGAGTCCATTGAGGCCTACAAGCCGGTGATCTACAAGCGACGTGAACGGCTCTTGGACGAGGAACTCAACGATGGCAAGGACATCATAACGTCCAGGGACAGCAATGCAGCGTCTGCGGTGGAGGCATGGCAGGGACCGGCGGCGCCACACGAGCATGTGGTGCTGCAGCCCGTACTAGAACCACTCGTGGAACCCCAGCAAGAGACTGAACAGGAGGCGAGCAGCCAGCCAGCAGGCGAAACAGGAGGTGGTGGAGGAGGAGGGGGAGGTGCCACAGGCGGAGTCAGCAGGGAAGTGGCAGCCGTGCACTCGCCCAAACATTCGGCAAACTCCAGCTCGATGAGCGACGCGATTGACTACCAGGAGAGTGTACTGCTGCGGCGCCAGCAGCTGAGTCGCGTGGCCGAGTGGGTGCAGCACAACACACAGCAGTTGGAGCAAAGGACACTGCAGCAGCCGCCGCTACCAAGCGACTCCACAGCGGGCACAGAGCGGCAGTCCTCGTACTCGACACTGGATCGCATGGACTCCATTTCGATAGAGAAGCTGTCGATGGATTCGGGCTACAAGACAACGCCCCAGCAGCTGACCAACGGCCCAACGGAGGACTCACTGTCCCCCAAGACGGACATCACAAGCAATTCCCTGCCAGAGGCAGCCGGTGGTCCCGACGACGGCCAAAAAGACAGAACTGTGCACCACATACTACAGGAGAACCACCAGATCGGGTCTGCCAGTGGCATACACCACCACAGCAGCTGCAGCAGCAGCAGCAGCAGCGGCAGCGGCCGCAGCCACTGGCACTCCTCCTGGCGGGGATTCGCTGTCCTCTGGCTCCTCGGCGCCCCTGATGTGCCCCGAACAGCCCACGTGTGATATCCTCAACTATAAATACTATCCCAATGATACGGACAAGACGCGATCCGTGCAGGCGGAGCTGCACACGACCACACAGCACGTGGACATTGCTCAGATGGAGTACAATGTCAAGCAGTTCCTGCTCAAGCAGAACGAGTGGTCCATGAGGGGAGATGGTGCCACCCAGGGAGGCAATGGCAATGGCAATGGCACAGGCGGCGGTGGCGGAGCAGCAGCCATTTCAGGGGGAGCGCGACTGGTGCGGCACACACGTCTGATGGGACCAGGAGTGGGAGAACGGGTGCGCATGGCCACGCCTGGTGGAGCAGTGGCCGCCCAAACAGGCGCCATGGCGCCGCACAGAACTGAAACGAATTTATAAGAAAAGCGAAGGTGGGGAAGGCAGAAAGAGGAGCAGCTGGAGGAGGCAGGGCATGCCGCATGGGTGCAAGCGACGAATCCAAAGAGTAAACCAAACTGTATTCTAGTCTAGTGTTTTTGCTACTTTTACGTTCATATTCTACGATCCATATCCATACGTATATCCATATGGATCCAGATATATACATAATAGAAGGCTAAGCAATGTGCTAGATGTGACTTAAGTTTGAATTAGGTGCGATCGGATAGGAGCAATGATAATGATAATGATACTATATATTGTACGATATATCTTATACACACACACACACACACACACACACACACCCAACTACAACTAGGAATACTCGTATTGCTTTGGAGCTTTGAAGATTATCCAGTAAAGCGAACAAAAAACTGTTTGTGGAGTAGAGAGCGAGCGAGATAGTTGTGGCATTTTTTTTGGTGCACTATCTATAAGAAATTTTGTGCTTTTAAGCAATATATTTTCAACATTCATAGCACTTGCTCTGAAATTTCAATCTATAGATTTTTTTTATAATATCAATTGGATAAACCTTTAGAAGTTAATTCCTTTAAATCATGTTGCAAATTTTGTTCTACATTGAAATTGCATTGCATAAATGTTTGTGCTTTATAATCTTAATAAGGCTTTTTTAAAGCATTCTAAACTCATTCAATAGAAAAACTCTTTGATATTCTTTTGATTTATCATTAAATAGTTATTAAATTATGCTCCTTGTGAGCTGAGTTTTAAATGTTTCAGTTTTTAGTGAGTTGGCACTTAAAACCTTTGCAATTATTTGAAATCTTCTACCACTTAAATTTCTTTAACTCTTCCAAGTCTTCCGCATTTTGTACTCTCACAATCTCTTTCTCCTTTCCGCAAGTCTTCCCTGGAACCCAAAACTTTATTATATTTTTTCTATCACCCAATTAATGCCACAACACTCTCAAATCCCACAGCAGCAGAAGCAGCAGCAGCAGCAGCTAAACCAAAAGCAAATCTAAGACATATGATATGGTTATTCCTTATAAATAAAAAATAAAAACAAAAACCAACAAACAAAAAAAAAACTAAAAAAAGAAAGAAAGAAAATCTCATAACATTTTATGTGTCTGAATGTTAACCCACAATTTGAAGCCCATAAAAAAAATATATATTATACATATATGCTATATATATATATGTATGTATAAATAAACGATACGATTGATATTTGATAAGCGCGTGTTATATTTTCTAGAATTTCGATTGTGCAATATTTTTTAGTAGCGTGAAATGAATTTTTATTTTTATAAAATGCGACCAAAAAACTAAAAGCAAGGGGAAAACCTGTTTTTAATTTTGAGATTTTATTTGGAGATTTCTATTGAGCATTTTCTTCAGGCCTAAAGCTTCAGCTATCGCTATAGCTATCGAAAGATTTATATATACAAAAGAAAAACAAAAGTACTGTACCTTCTTAGCGAGAACAAAAACAAAACAAAAACACCAGACAACTGTACTCCATTCCTGCCCATTAGATGACCTTCATATAGAACCTATAATCCTCTGCTAAACTGCTAAATCAAAGATATATTATATACATACATGTGACACAGACAGACAGACAGACATACACGAGCATTATAAACGTATCTGAACAGACATATGATTGTAATAACCCATATATATTTACATGCATCTATATATACACATTATACATACCATATATATCATACCAAATATATATACGCATATATTCGTGTATCCAGCCCACAAGAAAACCCCCAAAAAACCCCCCAAAGAAAAACATTCAACGGCTTCAAACCACACAACAACTCACACTTTTTCCACACATCAAAGAAAACACACACACAAAAAGAATGCCTCGATATTTATATCTGTGTATCTACATACATATATCTCCTTATACTTTGAGCGAACTGCTTAAATGGAAATGCTTTAAGACGAATGTTATGTTTGGCCCAATTATAGCGTAATTTCCTACCACATTGTATCTTCTTCTGCTGCCTGTTGAGCACTTTATCATCCTATGATATTAACGCTGAAATCAAAAACAAAAACTTTGGCTTAAGTTTATGAACCAATCTAAAGAAAGACTTGTCGTTTATTAAGGAAACCAAATCACATTACATCCTCTGCTATATATATATATTTATCATGCTTACATCCTTCTAAAATCTATGCTCCTTCCATCTATCATCCTGATAATTGCGGCCCTAAGATCCCCTTTGATCCCTTTCACTCCCTGTAACTCCCCAAATCTCTGCTCCTTCCACCTGCAACTCCCCAAATCTCTGCGTCTGCCATCCATAACTCCCTCAATCTGTGCTCCTTTCACCTGTGTAACTCCTGTGCTCAACCAAAAGTTATATCAACACACTGCACCCCTTCCTAACATCTACCACCTCTCTCACAAAACTAACTTTAAGTAGAATCATTCTCCCGCTCAAAAGACAACACACATAACCAGTACATAAGGCTGCTGATAAAGAAAAGCATTCCCTTAGCTAAAGAATTACTAAAAAAAAAGAAAAAAAAAATTTGAAATGGAATTTCAGCAAAAAAAAAAAAACCAAACAAAACTTAAAATATTAAACAAAGAAAATAAAGCAAGAAAAACTAGCTTAAATATTTGGGCATAAGTTTAACTCAAGCTGCGAATTTTAGTTACAATTTTTGAAGTCTTTGTTTTGTCCAGACACTTAGCCTTATATTGAATGGATATAGCCGAGTATAATGCCTCTCTCTCTATTTCGGTTGAATGTAACCAATTTTTGAGCTAATGAACCACCTCAATGTGAAACAAAACAAAAGACAAACAACATCAAAATAATGAAACAAGAAAAGCAAACGGAAAAATGGAAAAAACAATTCAAAATAAAATATGAGATAATTTTTTGAATAAAATTAAAAAGTGTTTTTGAATTCCACATGGGGGATGAAAACTAACTAAAATAAAATATATATTTGCTATGGTTTTTATTTTATGATGTTTATTCGGTTGTTGTGTGTTTTATTTTTGTTTTTGTTTTTTTAATATAAATTCCTGGGCAAAATATGAAATAAATAATTTGTGGGGTGTGTTTTTGTGTTTTGTGTGTTGTGTGGCGGCGTGTGGCATGCACTTAGAAAACTAAAGAAACATTTTCCTTCATTCTCAATTTAAATCGAAAAATGGCGACGAAAATGGCGTCAGTCGTTTTGGGGGATCGTCTCTCTGATCCTCGCTCTCTCACTCTCTCCTCTCTCTCTCTTCTGCCTCTCTTTTTTGTGTCCTTCTAGAGAGCCACTGCATCGACAGCAGCCACGGGCAGGGGCTGAACGATGGTATCGACCAGAACCTCGCGACCATCGTTGGCATCATCATTGACGACGATCACCTCGTTGGTGGGAATGGCCTCCTCAAACGAATCATCGATGGCCTCTCCGCTGGCACGCACCTCATTCTGGTCCTCGGATTCCGGCACAAACTCCGCCACTTCATCGTTTGCCGGATCGATCTTGTCATCCACTTCGGGCGTGGCCGGTGCCTCAGTCACTGGAGATGGCACCACAGCGGGCGCATTCTGTGGCCGGTTGCCGCCCAAGAAATTGATGATGCCCTGCAGCGGATTCTGGTTCTGTGGCGGCTGGGCGGAAGCTGCAGGCGCGGCAGCGGTGGCATTGTTGCCGCCACCAAAGATGTTGCTCACAAACTGCTGGATGGGACCGGGAGGACGGGGCGTAGTGGAGCCGGGGTTGGTCAGACCCGTGAGAGTGCTCTGGAACTGATTGCCCAGATTGCTGGCAAACTGCTGGATGCCCTGGAAGGCCTGTGTCGTGGTGTTGACCACAGATTGGGCTGCATTCTGCACAGCCTGCTGGGCGGAGGTGATGGCCTGTGCGGGATTCAGGAAACCGGGAATTGTGGGCGCCGGCGTGGGCGGGGCGGGTTCATCGGCGGCCACGGGCTGTACTGCTGCCAGCTGTGCCGGCTGCTGTGGCTGGAACTGATTCAGGAACTGGCCGATGGGCGAATTCTGGATGAGCTGCTGCACAAAGTTCCCCTGGGTGGTGCTCTGCTGCTGCGTGGGCGTGGCCTGGGTGGCCTGCCGCAAATGCGGCTGGCCATGATCCCCCCCCAGATCGGCTTGATCTTCGACCACGGGACTGGCATCGACCACCTCGGCGGGCACGGCTGCAGCAACGCTGTCTTCAGCGGGCTGGCTCTTGAGAATGCCTTGGGCCAGCTCTTCAAGCGGTTGTGGTTCCACTTTACTGATCAGGGGCTTGATCTCTTCCTCCCTGATCACTGGTTGAATCTCTTCGGCTTTGATCACTGGTTTGCTCACTTCCTCTTTGATTACAGGCTGGATCTCTTCTGCTTTGATCGCTTCCTCTTTGATTTCAGACTTGATCTCTGCTTCCTTGTTCAAGGATCTGATCTCCTCTTTGGGCTTGATCTCCTCCAACTTCTCCTGCACCTTGGCCTCTTCAATGATCGGCTTGGACTCCTCTGCAGTGATCGGCTTGGAGTCCTCTTTGAGAGCCTCCTCAATGATCGTTTTCAGAGCCGCCTCAATGATTGGTTTGGGAGCATCGACAATGGGTATTATGGCCTCCTCTTGGATGATTGGCTTGGCCTCCTCTTGGATGATTGGCTTGACAGACTCTTCCACGATCGGTTTGGCAGCCTCTTCCACGATCGGTTTGGCAGCCTCTTCTTCTTTTACCAAAGCCAAGGCCAATGGCGGCTCTTTATCCTCGATGATCGCCACGGGTATATCGATGGCCTCCTTGGGCGGCTGCAGCACACGTCCCTGGCTGGCAGCAGCCAGGCAGAGTAACACCAAGAAAATGGACTTCATATTTGCAGATCTCTTCAATGGGAATTCACTCGCGTTTCAGTGGTACAAAAAGCAACGTTCACTAGCGCCTCACGGCCGCAACTGTTGGAAATCTGTTTGGACTGTTGGCATTTTATACACCCGCCCCGAGTGCGACGTCGGCGGCGGCGGCGGCGTTGACGTTGACGTTGCCATCGACTGAGCCAAAGACAAATAACCTGAAGAGGAGCGTTGCATGCAGCAGCAGATGAGGGCCAAGAGTAAGGCAGGGAGTGCGTTGATCGTTGGCAGGAGGGTGGGGTGAGAGGTGGGGGGGGAGGGCATCATATCATGGCCAATGTCTTGGCCAATTCTGGTGCTGAATGTCATTGAACCTCTCTCCATAGCCGGGCAGAGGATGCTGGGCTCGAGGTTAAGTTACAAGAAGGAGTCGGAACGCAAGGGGCTGGTGGGTTGTTGGGTTGTTGGAGCCCTCAAGAAAGGGTCTTGGGTCTCTTGCAGGGCCGGGGCTTTGGCCCGAAGTGGTTTAAGAAGCTGCAGACATAATTGGCCTCGTGAAGTGGTTGGGGCAGGGTAGGTGGCAGAGGAAGGCAGTGGCAGAAGGCTGAAAAAAAAAAAACCACTGAAGATGGCAACCCAAGAGCAAGCATCTTTCTATAGGCATTGGAGTGCTTAAGAGTGCTCCTTGTAGGGCTTACAGCGATTTGCTAACCAAATGTTGATCATCTTGTTAAGGAAACAAAAGACACAGAGATGGAGAGACAGAGAGAGAGAGAGAGAGGGAGATCAATGAAGAATGCTATGATATTATTTTATACAAAAGATAAATGCAAGTATTTGAAATTGAAGCTTTGTATTATTATTTATATATAATCTTCACAATAAATGTGTACAGATTTTAACGGACTAGCATAGATCATTTGAAGATCTAAAACTGATCTCCCATTTCTGGACTCTCTTCTTTATTCAATGCCAATGGTATTATTCTTATGGATAATCTAAATTTGGGGGAACATTTTCTGAACCCAATGAATGCTGCACATGCCAGCGATCTTTTCCTTATGATTTTGCTGGCAGATATTAAGGTAGAATCTGTACAAGATTTTTGCACAGTTCTGTAACAATGAAAACCTCATTAATAGTATCATAAAAAGAGAAAGAGACGCCCTAAATGCGTTTTAATGACTGCTAAGAGGTAACCTCTGGTCTCGTTAGGTAGGAAACCCTTTGGGGGTCATAAAACCAACGCAGATGTTTCTATTTGTAAGGAAACCAAACAGAAAACGAAGATAAGTTTAAGAAGAAGTTCTCAGCAGTATATTTGATCCTTTCTTGTGGTATTATTTTGCACTTATAATCACTGGCCCCCGTATATTGGTACCACTATGCAGCAGATCAACAAAACAGAGACTACATAGATCTCTGCGATCTCTTCGATATCTGATCGTGTTAAACCCCTACCCTACTCCTACCCCTACCCCTACCCCTGGCCCTACCCACTCTGCAAACGACACAACACACTTTGTGTTTTTCACTCTCATTCCTTGTTGTCTCGATTTGATCGGCAGATTTTTCTTGTTTTCTCTACAAAGAAACTCTTTGCTTGTTGGTTTTTTTCCTGTCTTGTGCTGCGTTCTGCTTGAAAGTTATTCTTGAGCTCTTGGGTCTTTGGTGGGCTCTGTCTTTGGCTCTTTGGCTCTTTGGAAACCCGTTCCACAGTCTCAAAAAGGGGGCTTTGAGAAACCTGCTCAGTCTATTTTTAGAGTCAATTAGCTGCGTGCAGCCGATGGACGTTTGTGGATGGATGGATGCTGCCTGCATCTATCTCTATCTCTGTAGGAGATGCGTTTTCACCCATTCTGGGTTAATAATTCATTAGAAATGCAACACAAATTTAACGCCCACAAAAACACACACTTGTGCGGTGGGTTGGGGAGGGGCGGCGAAGGGGAGGAGATACATGTTATTCTGCTATGCAAATGAAGGCGGTGGATGGGATTTAAATGTAAGTAAATGGGTCAAATAGATTCGAGGAGAAAATGCTAGGAAAAGTAAAGCCACTCGAAGTTTTCTTTGAAGTTAACTTAAGTGAAGGTATCGGCATAGCCCTTGTCCCAACCCCCCTACCCACCCCAAAGAACCCGTTCTGAAGAAGGTTCCCTGCGCGAAAAAAAAGGGGCATAAAACAAGCCAGAGAGACACGAGATATCTGCTCAGATCGAAGTCGTCTGCTAAGGACATTGACTTGGTTGGTTTGGTTTTTTTTTTTGTTGTTGTTTATGGCGCTCCCTCTTCTTAACAAGTTTTCGCCCAGAGACCCAAATCTTAATTTTTGGGTTCTTTACGAATTTTTTTTTATGGGTTTTCTGGGATTTCGTTTAATTGATTTTTTGGTCTCTTTTTTTGTTTTTTTTTTGCACGCGTTCGACGATCTCATTTGCTCGAGTTTCGGGGGCTCCAAAAATGTATGCGTTGTATTATGCAATTTCCAGAGGTAGTTTTTTTTTGTTTGTTGTTGTTGTGTGTGTTATCGCACCCATCGCTGGGCTTGGGTCGTCGATTCGCCTGTCGAATTAACACCTTGCTCACATAGCACATAGCAGGTGGGCGACTGTGCCCGCATTGGGGCGTGGCCCCACCTAAAACGGTGGCAACTTTCACTCAACAATCGTGTGGAATAATAAAGAAAACAAAACCAAAAAAAATAAAGTACAACAAAACGTACAATTCACATGCAAAGTGGGTGACAAGCGACGAGCAAGGGGGGCGGCGGCGGGCAGAAGTGTGAGTGGTGGTGGGTGGGAGGGGGGCTAATGCCTGACAGAAGTAGGTGGGAAATGTCTGACGACGATCTCTCGTCATCCAACAATTACCTCACTTATCAAACGTCGCGCACCCGCACTCGCACTCGTAATATTTTGTGTGTCATTATTCATTGTGTGTTGTCAAGGTCACATAATACAATATTTTTGGCAATAAATATTATTTATGAGTGAAATTGTGACATACACACACACACACACACACACACAATGAATCCACACAACAGCAGCCTCTCCTCAACTGCAATCTGCACTGGCCTCCAGGGCAAACTGGAGTTCAAGCTGGGCCAGCGGGGCAAGCCGCTGCTGGTGCACGACGCAATGGTAAGTCCGTAATGCATAGATTCGACAATTGTCCAGTCCCTTAATACAGCTATTTTTAAATTAGCGAACGAGATTATACCAAAAATACCTCGACGGCAATATGAACAAGAACTAAAAGATCTCTTTATCATGGATCCAAAGAACCGTATGGCGACATGTATTCACTGTTTAGCGTCTGTCAGAACAAAGTTTAATCCCGGGAGACAAATACGGCGGATCCACCCCGACGCACTGCCGACATTGCCGCCTGTGATGCAGACAATGGACATGTCCACGGACAGCCTCCGCATCGGTATCGGCATCGTCGGCATTAAGTGTACAAGAAAGCAATCTGATCCAAATTTTTTCCAGCGAAGAAAAGCTTACGCTCCGAGGTTAAAAGGTTAAAAAAACACAATAATTGAACATTTTCATAGGAAAAATTTAAACCTATCCGAAATATGCGCCAGAAATTTGCAAAAGCAAATTTTAAAGTTCTTTCCAGGAGAAGTAGGCAGCGGCCGGGATTGGCAGAAATGTCTAAAAGAAAAAATTACAGAAGGTAAGAGGTTACACAATAAATAAATAAATACATAAATAAATTGTATTGTATTATATATTCTCTCACTGGAACGCGGAGAGAAGAAAAACTTGAGGACTGCAATGTCTCTAAAGTATGCTGGCCATGGACCATGCGAGTCGATGACATGCCTGAAATGATCAACGATAACAATAACAATCAACGGCCGATAATTCTCGATAATGATGATTCAATTGAAATAAATATCAAAGATTTTACAAAGAACGGAGAGTTGTATCTGGCGCAGCACCATCTGGCGGTACGTAGCAGCACTACGCCGTTTGGCGTGTTTGAAACTGTGTTGGGGTGAAACCGCTAGAGGCGCCACCACTGCATTTCTTCTTTTTTCTATTAGATAATTGTTTCTTCTTATTTTCTATTAGAAATTTATAGTAAGAAAAGAAGCAGAAAAATGTATAATAAAAAAAAGAGAAGAAAAATATCGATCGCTTTTGTACGATAGTCCATGGATAGTGTACTCGATAGCTATTGGCTGCTCAACGCAGAAATGAGCTGGAACATGTATCTGGACATGTCGAGAAACATTCGTTCAAAAATCAGCCGGGAGCACCCTATTCGTTGTTTTTTGTTTGCCGGGAGCACCCTGTTCCAATTGTACAAAATTCCGGCGAGATTTTAATTCGCGTTAAAATTAAAATTATACAATAAAACGCGTAAATTTTGTGAAAAAAACATGTGCAATGTGCTCTCGGTTTTGTTGTTGATCGATGTGCAGTGAAGGACGGTGAGTGCACGTGCGTTTTAAGTGCAACAAAAGTGTTCAAGCAACAGCAACAACAACAAAAGTGCGCTGGGCTGGCAGAGTGCGAGAGAGAGCGAGAGAGCAACAAAGGGGCCAATAATAACAAAAAAAAAAGAAAGAAAACAAAATTAATTGAAATTTTTTGGTTCGAAATAAATACATACATATATAATAGAGTGGCTGAGGAGAAAGAACAATTAAGAGAAAATTATTAACGAATAAATAATTAAGCGCTGCTTGTCCCTTGTGCGTGTTTGTGTGTGTGTGCGTGCGATCTCTGCCCTGCAGGCTGTTCCACTGAGCCACCTCTCTCTCTCTCTCCACCACACGTTTCGGCGATGAAATAAAAGAAGAAATTATCTCCGGTTCGCGCGTGTGTTTGTGTTTTTGAGTGTGTGTTAGTGTTTAGTGTGCTCCCCTGCTCCCACTCCCACTTCCGCCCGCTTCCTTGTGCTCCTTCCTTCCAACTATAACGCGACACTCTCTTTCTTATCAGCAGCAGCAATTTCTCTGCAACCACTCCACCACCCCCGCGCGTCATCCAAAAACGTGACTAATGCACTGCTCGCGTAGCCTCTCTGCTGCTGGCGCCGTGGACAACACAACAACAACATTCTATACGGCAGCAGCGACATCGGCGTCGGCAGCAGCCTCGGCCAGCACAACGCCAACGTCGAACAAGACGACAACAATGGCCACAACGGGGGTAACGGCGACCACAGGGCCAGCGGCAACAAATGCTAAAGATGGTAAGTTAGACTAACTAAAAGCCAACATCCAATAAAAGTGACCTAGTAAGCGGTACTAGGTACCAATACAGCTGCAAAGGCAGACAAACGGAATAGGCAAATCAAGAGAGAGGATAACATGACTGTTAAAGTTCAAGGCAAGCGTACAGTTTGAGAATGCTGAGCAATGAATGAGCAACTGTAATTGCAGCAAGTGACTCTAAAACTCCCATAGGGGAGAAGCAGCCCATAAGGCTGAACTCTTTGAGGAGAATATTGAACTAAATCAAAGCTAAAGCTGAAGTTAAAATTAATTATTATTATTATTTGGTGTACAATCCCCATCCATTTTTATACACTCTTCTCCCTGCTAGTCTTTTATAGATTTCCTCCTTTACTTTTTCGCTCTCATTAGTTTTTATTTGCGAGCACATTTGTTTGCCGTGCACACAGATTAACTACTAATCCATCAAAAGCTAAATCCTTTGCTTTGTTCTGCCACTAAATCCCCCACCAACGCGCGGCATGCAACCATCCACTCTCCCCCGCCCGCTGACGTAACTTGTTGAGCAATCTGAATACGACGATGCCATACAATACGACACGATAGATGGATGTACGGATTTCTGGTTCATTTCGGATCATTCCAAAAGTGGTTTAAAGAAAAATTGGTGAAAAAAACCAGAGTGAGGCGACGGCGATGGCAATGGCAATGGCGAGGGCAGCAAATAAGGCAAACATATTAATGAGAGCCGCCGTTGAATAGCAAACAAATTCAGCAACAACAAAAATAAAAGAAACAACAAAACCATAACCAGAAATAGCAACAATAAGAAGCTTAAAAACAATAATTAAGAAGTGCCGCTGCTGCTGCCGCTACCGCCGGCCTGCTGCTGCTGCAAAAATGTGTTTGTACAAAAAACTTTAAGTACCAAAAAATGTAATTGCCACGGCGGGCCAATGAGAAGCAAAAGAGGGCAGGGGTCTGGGGGCCTGGAGCATTTTTTGGGAGCATAACGAAGGTCAGCAAAAGGCCTGAAGGTCATAGGCATTTCGACGTTGTCGTCACCTCTGAACCCGCTCGAATTTATTGATTTTACGCGCAGCAGCGTCAGCCTCAGAAGCACTTAAAAAAAGAGAGAAAGACATTTTTGAGAAAGGGCAGCGTGGTAATGGGGAATACCCTTTCCCAGAGGTCTTTTAAAGAATATGCTTACTTTGGTCTAAAAGCTTGAAACTTGAAAAACTATCCATAAATTTCTTTACTAAAAGCTGTGAAAATTAATCAAGAAAGTGAAAAAATTAACATTGATATATGTATCTTTCCTTTTGAATGATTTTTCTAAAAAGTAGACGATTCGACATAAAACTTGATAAGGTTAAATTTCTTTGAGAATACTGCAATATATCCCAAACAAAACTGAAAGAAAGTTAGAGAGATGAAATGACTAATATTAGTGTTATATTTTCATCTGAATAGGAAAAGTTTCCCACTGAAACCATACGACCCCTTCTAGAAAGGGTACACCACATGCATATTTCTCTTTATGCTCTTTCAATTTACCTTTTATTTATGCATATACTTTTACATCTGTGTGAATGGCACACACATATGTATGACTATATATTCGTGTATACATACATATGTACATGGATATGTAACTGTATTCCTCCTCCAAGTCAGAGAGCGACTTATATATGCCGCTTGCTGCTGCTGCTGCTGCTGTGGCAGAGGAGGGCCCCCTCGAGTTGTAGTTTTCTTTGTGTGTGTGTGTGTGTGGCTTTGGCTTATGCCAAAGGCCAAATGCAAAAACCTGCTTTTTAAAAGCCAAAAACCAAAACAAAAAGCAACAACTACTAACGATATAAATCCCCCTCAAACCATGGCCACAAAATGTTTAGTTTTTGTTTTTGTTGTTGTTTGCAAGAAAGTTTAATAAACTATGGCACGAAAAGAGTAGCTAACGGAAACTCAGATACACAGACATAATAATTAAATCAACTCAATGGCAACATTTTGGTAACAATTTTATGAATTTTCCATCATTAGATAATACGCCTCTAATTACTTCCTACAACTAGTTGTTCTTTTTTTTTTATCCGTACCTACATTTATTTAGACAATTTTCAAGCAATTTGTGGTGTTCTTTTTCTTATCACTGAAGGAAACAGAAAAAGACAGACAGAAAGAAAGAATGTGTGATAAGATGGTTGGAAACAGCAGTGAAATGTGTGATTCATTTGAGTGATATGCGAGTATTAGTAAAGAAAGAATGACTGTAATTCTTTATGAAAATAAGTTGGCCTTTTGGGGCTTAAATATTCCAAATATATTTATGAATTACATCTCATTTGGCATGCATCTCCGTTTGACAGCATCAAAAATTAAATTTGCACGCCTGCATTGCGGTTGTGAGTTCAGTTTAGAAACGAGCAATCCTAGAGCCGTTCCTCCCGCTATTAGAATGATTTACTATAAGGCATACGTACTGCTATTGGCCCCCCTATTCACCCTTAGAGCTGTGACGGCAGATTGCTGCTATGACAAAGGAGGAAAGTGCAAAGACGGAACTAAAGTAGTTGGCAGCTTCTGCGGTGTTGGACGCTGCAATATGTTAGGCTGCAATTGTGATGGTGGATGCAGAGGTGCCGATATTCCACCTGCTAGACTTGCCAAAATTGCAGCAACTGCTTCACCCACGGGCAATTGTTGCCCCTCTTATTTAGGATGGTGGTGCCTCGACGGCACTAAAGCTCCGGGCCATTTTTGCGGTATTGGACCTTGCGATATTTTAGGATGCAATTGTGATGGAGGGTGCAGAGTACCCAACTAAGAAAATGTTAAACATGCAAAAATATTCGAACCAAATTTATTCCAACTAATTGCCGTTGTTTGGTTGGAGAATAGAGATCTGTAAAGACAATCTAAGATATTTTCAGTACCACTCAAAGATCAGTTTAAGATTTTTAAGAATAATCCGCTTTGATCCATACGAAATTAGTGTTTTTTCTGGAAAGGATTCGATTGGATGCAGTTTAATGTGGCACTACGAACACAAGATCAGTCCAAGAACGAGTGTTCCGCCAAGCAGTTAATTATAATTATGATCTGCAAGGCTTTCGTACTACTAGTAGCCCTATTCTTCTTTGGAGATGTGACGCCAGAATGCTGCTATGCCAAGGCAGGAAAGTGCGGCGACGGAACTAAAGTAGTTGGCTCCTATTGCGGTGTCGGACGCTGTAATATGTTGGGCTGCAATTGTGAAGGCGGATGCAGAGGTCGCTTTGCAACTATTGGTCATGAGGAACTTTTTGCACTTGTTGCAACTGGTAAACCTACGGGCGAAGGGTGCTGCCCCGCCTATAAGGGATGGTGCCTCGACAGAACTAAAGTAGTTGGCCATTACTGCGGTGTTGGACCTTGCAATGTGTTCGGATGCAATTGTGATGGTGGATGCAAGCGATACACATGGGTAAACCTGACCAATGTTGGTTAATAAAAAACAGAAACACTAGACATTTCCTGTACCTTCCTTAATACCTTTTATTAAACACTTTGGCAGTGTAGAAATTCTTTGGCCCTTGACCCTGCCTGGGAAAATCTCATTAGGGATTTGTGTTACAACCGGTTTCTGTCTGTCCTGTCCATCAATTAGGACGAGACCTGTGTAGCAGAGGGGAGCAGCTGGAGAGTGTAACTATTTTTATGGCTTACACAGAAAGTTGTTGGCCAACACAATCCATGTGAGCTTTGTGTGGGGGATTACCTTGTGAGTGTTTTGGATTATTTTCGAGTTATTTTTTAGTCAACCAAACATTCAGTTTGCTCTCCGTGCAGCCACATGCAACCTTGTGGGGCGGCACATTTATTGGGGTTTCCATACACGTAAATGACATAAATTGTATGGCAATTTTTGGAGACAGCGCACCAAAAGCAAAAGTACTGTAAAGAGAAAGTTGGAATACTATTTTTGGGGTTGATTATTTTAAACTCTAGCCGACACCTTTGGTCGGTCTGTCTGTCTGTGGGGGTTAGAGGAAACAGATTTAATTTGGCATGCCACTAACTTCATTTGCAGTGGATTCCCACCATTTACCAGCAACATTAATTGTTGATTTTTACGGCTGCATTGCGAATTGGAGATCAGTTTTCAAGCGAGTGTGCCGTGTAGCAGTCAAGAAGTCTTTGAACCCATCCCTCCTGTGCTTAAAATGACGTACTCCACGGCAGTCTTACTACTATTGGCGGCCCCCCTGTTCTTCGTTGGCGAGGTGCTGCCAGAATGCTGTCGAGCACATCACGGAATGTGCCTCGACGGATCTGATGTAGTTGGCCATTATTGCGGCAAGGGACCCTGTAATATATTCGGATGCAATTGTGAAGGCGGATGCCTACCCCGGAAACTAATTGATCACCATAAACTTTTTGCAATGATCGCAACTAGTAGGCCTGTGACTGGAAATGGAAATGCCTGCTGCTTCGATATTAAAGGATGGTGCAAGGACAGAACTGCCGTAGTTGGCCATTATTGCGGTGTTGGACCTTGTAATATATTCGGATGCAATTGTGAGGGAGGCTGCCGATATTACCATTGGGAAAATTTGACCATAGTGGATGAGCAGAATAAAAATAAAAATAAAAATAAAAAAAATAAAAATCACTAAAAATTCCACAAATAATATCCCCTTGTACCTTCCATAATTTTATTAAACACTTCTGCAGTGTACAAATAATTTATTTTTGAGGTTCGTTATTTAAAGCTCTAGCAGACACGTAAACTGTTAATCAAACGAATCGAAAGTCTTTAACTATGAAACAGATTTCATTTGGCATGCCACTAACGTCATTTGCAGTGGTTTTTATTTAGCAGCATCAACAATTACATTTTCACGGCTGCATTGCGCTTATGAGATCAGTGTGCAAGCGAGTGTGCCGTGTGTCAGTCGAGCAGTTCCCTTCTGTGCTTAAAATTATGTACCATAAGGCCTTCGTACTACTAGTGTCGCCCCTACTCTTCCTT